GAAGAAGAAGAAGAAGAAGAAGAGGAAGAAGAAGAAGAAGAAGAAGAAGAAGAGGAAGAAGAGGAAGAAGAAGAAGAAGAAGAAGAAGAAGAAGAAGAAGAGTCATTTTAATGACAGGTCTCTTAACGACTGGTTGATTAAAATGAAGAAAGAAATGTATTTTAAAAAAATATATAATTATACATTTTATATATATTTTTAATAGTTAAATGACAAATATTAGTGGAAAAAGGACAGAATTAACTCCATCTACTGGAGGCTAATGTTCTGCATTAGTTCCTTCAAACTGAAGGTGCGTTCATGGTCAATGACCAAGAGAAAATAAATACATGAATAAATGTCACTTTTTATTCTGACTGGATTCATTTTTCAAGATGAGCCAAAGAATAAAATAAAATTAAAAAAACCTTTTAACATATTAGTGAAAAAAGTTGAAAATGCGACATAATTGTGGAATATTTGCGAGACAACTGTGTTGACGTTAGTCAAGCTAGCTACAAATCTGTTCTATTTCAGACTCCAACACATGCAGACGTGAGTTCCTGTTTAAATGTTTTTAAAAAGAGAAAACTTTTTATTTTAAATGTCAACGTGCTGATTTATTCTGCAGTTGCAAAGGCTGACCACTGTATGGCAGTGTTGGGTGATTCTCAGGCGTCCACTGTAGAGGCTTATATGCAACACTGCCATCAAAACCTATTCTTATCATAGAAAATGACATTTTCATAGCTGTCCACTGTAGTGACCGTCATGCATGAAAGGGTTAATGATTAATCGTGGCTATAATTAATTACAAGTGTGGTCAATCTTGGTTAATAGGGTAAGAGAAAATATCAATACCTGAAATATTGCGATATTTTCTTTTACAAATACCATTTGACTACAGTTAAATTGTTTAAAAAACATCCACTATATATATATCACCGTGCCTATAGTATCGCAGTATATCACAATATATTGTATTTTAACCCCTGTATTGTGATACGTATCGTATCGGCAGATTATTGCCGATACACAGCCCAAGTCACGATAAATGACACAGTTTTACCATAGCTACATCTTTAAGGGTAATATACATATCCATTAACATTTTTATTTATGTACAGAAAACTAGGGGGCGCTCAAATGAATCCCTGTCGCTGCCACAGATTCTCCGACAGAAGACAGAACATTCTGATGAATATAAACATGAAGGAAAATGGCAGTTATTTTTTCAGCTGAATAAAAGATAAAGTGAACGCACTGATGCTAAACCACCACCAGGAGTGCTGCCATTTACACACACACACAAACACACAAAATACTGCAATAATCTGATACGATTACTTCCTCTCCTTTGCCACAATAATAGCTGTTAGGGAGGGTAAATTGGGCTGTTCTTTTCTCCCAACCCCCCCCTAACCGCCCCCCCATTTCAGCTGTTCCACTTCACCGAGGGACGAAACTGATTTCAAGACGGGGCCATTACCACAGAGAGCCGGTCTGGATGTGACGCTGCCAATCTAATATTCACTTTCTACAAACATTATGCCGGTTCATCTCCTGCAGAGTTTACCCTTAATTGAGGCGACAATCTGAGCCAATAGGAACGCTCGCACAGGAAATGATGTCAATTACAGCGACTGGAACTTTTTTTTTTTTTTTTGGTTTTGGTGCCTCTGTGTTTTACCTTCTCTGGTCTCTGGAACTGTTTCTGTTTTTGTTGTGTTCAGTTTTTACACTTTGTAAAGGATTCAGTGAAGTGTGTTTAGAATTTTACATTTTCTTTTTTCAGTCGTGTTAAATGACGAATGTTGTGATTTGTGTATTTTATACATTTGTTATTTTTGTGCGGAAAAAAAAAATTAAATTATTGCTAATATAACACATGATTAAAACCTACAGCTTGTTTTTCTAGCAGTTTGAAGCTCGAGAGAGAAGTTTTTTTTTTTTTACTTTGTTAAAAACAAACAAACATCGTGGGACATTTTAATCCTCTCAAACTTTTTTTTCGCTGACAGTGTTGTTCAAGACACGTCATTAATAATAATTAAAAATAAATAAATATTAACCTCTTATTCACCCCATAATGGAGAAACTCACACAGGCTGCCACAAGAGGCGCCATTGAGCGCGTGGTTCCTCTTGTGGCAATGGTATTAACGCTATGTTATTAACTAATTAACTAATTAATTAATTAACAAAGTTATTAATGACATGTTATTAAAGAAGGAAAAATATCAAAGGAAATTGAAGGAGTTGAACATGAAACAGTGGCTAAATAGCCTAGCGGTTAGCACGCCTGCCTTGAGGGAAGAGAGTTCTGGGTTTGAATCCCAGAGGAAACACCACATCCCTAATGGCGCCCCCTGTGGCAGTTGCAAAGACTATAAATAAATAAACAAATAAATAAATACATTTCCTGATTGTGGGATGATTAAGAAACTAAAACTTTTAAAAAAAAATTATCTTAGCTGAAAAAAGCCCCAAAACATCATTAAACTAAAATAAAAATATATTAAAAATATAAATCCTGCAAAAACAATAGGTTAAAGAACGACCAAATGTTACGACAATTATCCAAAATAAACAGAAAAGGTTAATTAGCGCATTAAAACGACCAAACACAACGTTGACCCAAGGTTCTGTGTGATGTTGTAGGAAAAAACAATAACAGAAAAATCCACAGGAAACAACAACAACAACAACAACAACAACAGCAGCAACAGCAACAGACTAGCACTAATGCTAACTGTACTCACTGTTTATCAAGAAGGTTCTCAGAGTCAAAGACGTGTCTCTGTGACTCACTGAAGACTCAGCGGCGCCACACGCTGAGAGGAAAAAAATAGTGCTTAGCCAGCGTTTCACGCCGGCCGTATCACTACGCCGCTAGCTGCAAAACTGCTTTTATTTACCTTGGCCTTTTTAAGCTCCTGCCACCCACACACTAATGCTAATAGCACAATGGCACTTTTGCACAGCGGTGCTCGTCTAAAGGTAAAGGGAGACCCCTCACCTCATCACTCCCATCAACTCCTACTCCCATCCTAGCTGCGACCCCATACAAACATTGTTTAGGCTTCGTTTAGATGTGCTCCAGCCGGGGCTGGAAGGTGGCGGGATAAAGCCCTCACAGGGGGCAAACAGTGAGAGGCAACTGTGAGTGAGTGCAGCCGGTGAGTGGGTGCTGTCTAACGTGTGAGTGCTCTCTGCTGGCACTGAGCGAGTACTGCAGCTTGGAGTGAGTGAGTGAGTGATGTGATGGGGGGGGGCGGTGATTTCAGCACAAGATGCTGGTGGAGACACAGTCTGAGGGGCGAATACTTCGTGTATTATTTTATGTATGTAGTATTTTCTTCGTTTGTATTATGTTATATATAAACTATATATAAAATATATAGTTATATATAACTATATATTTTGTTTATATTCTCACCCTTTTCTGTTGTTCTAAATGATGTTCTGAATGTTTTTACTTTTGTGTATTTTTTGTTATGCTACATTTTAATTTGATATTTTTTTACATTTATATATTTCATATATTTACATATACATATATATACACATATGTATACACACATATATATATATATATATATATATTTTTTTTTTTTTTCCAAAATGTTGCACTTTGCATGTTTGCTGATGATGATCTCCTGGCCCTAAAGCCAGAGCAGGACAGTGACCTCCGCTGGTCAGAGCGTGTAATGCTGCCTATCGGTCTGATTGTCATGTTGTTCTCTTCTCTTTCAGAAAAATAATAAGTAATGCAGAGTGGCATTAAAATCGTCGATTATTATATGATGAGCGCTAGCACTTTAACAAATCTTTATTACAGAAAAAAAAAAAAAAAAAAAACTCCCTACGTGGATGAAATGCAGTAAATTATCAGAGTAGTAAAAAGTATTCAGTCGCCAACAGGTCTCGTTGTTAGCTAACAAACCTGGATCCTCCATCTTTCCCCGTCTTTGTCCTGTTCTGTTCTGTTTTTTTTTTTTAAACATCCCCA